GGGCATGGTGGCTCACATCTGAGCCTAGCACTAGTAATCCTAGCACTCTGGGAGGCCAAGGTGGAAGATCGCTTGAGGTTAGGAGTTCAAGACCAGACTGAGCCAAGAGCGAGACCCCCATCTCTACTAAAAATAGAAAGAAATTAGCCAGGTGTGGTGGTGCACGCCTGTAGTCCCTGCTACTCAGGAGGCTGAGGCAGGAGGATCGCTTGAGCCCAGGAGTTTTGAGGTTGTAGTAAGCTACAGTGATGTCAACTGCACTCTACCCAGGGCAACAGAGCAAGACTCTGTCTTAAAAAAAAAAAAAGCCAATGGGTTCACACATCTTTCTAAAATTATTAGACATATAGTCACAAGAATCAAACTTGGCCCAATCACATCTTTTTTCTTTCAAGCATTTATAAATTAAAAACTCTACAATATACTTTTACCCTAAATCAACTAGCACTAAAACCAAAAAAATGTTGCTTACCAGTTCATACATGAAATCTGGATCTGAACTGTTTGCTAAGAGATCTGTGCTCATCAGAGTTTGTTCCGAAAAGGTGTGGCTTCGAAAGGCATCCCCAAAAGGCGGATCCATTCCGCTTACACTAGGCTACAATAGAGTGATTTCATTTTAGAAAATTAAAGACTTCTTCAAGACCAATCTATTACACGAGTCCCACCCCACCCTCACTAAGTATCATTATTTTCAGAAAACATTTCTCTTTTTTCTACCACATAGTACATTTAAGAGCTTTAACTAGCATTAAACTGTAGACTTAAGTTAGGAAAATACCTAAGAAGCATTAAAAATAGAAAAAATGTAGAGCAGCAACTGTTATTAATATCTTCTAAAAACTAAAGCTTAGCCACCAGATTCAGCATCCAGCACTTAATGAGTATTTTTATTTAGCTATATAACATTTCCTCAAATCCTTCTCTAACAATAGTCTCTGTTTTAACTACCTACAGCAGGGAATTCCGTGCCATTTCCTGAGTTCTATAGGGGTAGCAAATCAGTCTCACTCTGTATTCCTAAGTGAGTCCAATGTCTTATTTCCTAAAGCAAGCCATAAGACAATTTGGGTGTCTCTAGTCCAATAAATGCCTGCAGGAATGTAATGGAAATAGAATCAAGACCAGGAACTTGGGCCTGAGCTCTGTAGCCTTAATCCTGATTCCTGAAAAGGGTACAGTCCATTCTATAATAAATAAAGGGAAAAAAGGACCCAGTGTTAATGCTCCTTGTTTTTTCTCCATCCTCTTTTTACATTTTAACATCTACACAAATCACTCCAGAGTCAAGTCAGAGCTCATCCTCCTAAAGAGGTTCAAATAATAGAAAGGCCTCACTTTGAAATCTAACTTGGATGAAAGGAGAGAATGAGAAAGAATAAAACTTTTCTCTTTGTCTTTTAGTTCTTCTGCACTAATTTTTTCCTTTATTTTCCCCAACCCCTCTAGGCCTGTAGGACCTTTCTTCCTAGAAGAAGTTAGCTTGAGAAAATAAGTCTTACAGTCCTAAATTCAAATATTTAACAAATATAAAACTAAGCCTCGAATGGGCAAGAACTCTAAAAGAGTATATGCAGTCCATCTGGTACAGGGGTTAGGGCGAAGGTAGGCCTCTGGTCTTTTTATTATCAGTTAGCAAATCCCCTTTCTTCCCCCCTGGTGCCTGCCCCCTTGAGTCACCAGACAATCACAGCAAATTGTTGATTGCCTATGCTCAAGGGATAGCTCAGTATGGCTCTAGATAAAGCCGTAACTGCCTGCTCATTATTTCTAGGTTTTTCCCCAGCACTGAAACACACAGGGGGAGGGGCAAGAGTTTACCACTGGAGGGGGAAGGGAAAGCATTGGATAAGCATAATGGGAACTAACAGGGCTTCATTTATTATTTCTGTGATTGCCTCAAACCAAAAGTGATCAATTCAGAGTAGTTGTCATAAAATGAACAGATATAATAATCATTCTTAGACATGTTTTGCAGGAGGTATTTATATGTGCATATGTGGGTATGTGTGTACCAGGGGGAGAGGAAAGGGGAAGGGGAAGGGGAGGAGGAGAGGGATTGAGATTGAAGTCCTTCACTATTTCCTCTTAACTACTTCTAAATTCAAATGGCATAAATGAAAGGTAAAAGTTGGGAAATGGGAAGACAAAGGAGATGGAAATGGGATTTCTGTGGCAGATTAACCTTCAGGGGATTTGGTTTAGCCCCCATAAAGCCAGCAGATCTGTCTACCTTCTACCTATCCACCATGCTCCCTATGTTCAGCTCATTAAATTTCAAAGTTATACCAAAGGCAGAAACAGAAGGCAACAGAACGAAGAACATATACTCAAAACTAGCCGAGATCAGAAATAAGATATCATAAAAAGGTAGTACGTCAAGTTGTGTTAAGATTCTGAGAACTTACAGAACCAATGGTATTGACTTTCTGCAGTGGGAAAATATAAAACTTTGCACCTACTCTGTATGATTTACCTGAGGCATTTCCAAGCCCAGATCCTGTGAGTCCAATTCCAAACTTCTTTTTTTTCTCGTTTGTAAATTCCTTTCCAGCTTTACTTTTAATTCCAAGGTCAAAGATGATTTTCACTACAAACAGCAGGTTTCCCCAGAATGTCTTCACTTCAACTGCTTGGATCACTGTTTTGTTTTTTAAATAATTTTGTGCAATTCTGTCAAACAACACAAAGTAACTTTATTCAACTCCATTAAAAACAAGTTGACCTTTCGAAAATAACATTAATAAAGAATACAGTACTTTAAATAATTAAGTCTTATGGTTGCATTTTCAAGAATTTAGTCATATCTTAGTACTTACCATTCCGAAATTCACCATTCCTCCTCTTGTTTGTTTCTAAAAATAGGGTCTGTCATTTACCAATTGGCAACATTAAAAAAAAAAAACAAACCCACCCTGACAAAATTAGCATAGCCTCATCTTTCCTGTGATCTGAAAGATGTATTATGCTGAATTTTAAAGTCAAGCTCTGATTTACTTTATGTTCTTACGAGAAAGCGTATCTCAACATTTAATTCCATCTATTGTATAATCATTACTGCTAAATTAATCTACATTTTATATTTCTCATAAATCAACAAGAAGAGTAATGAATACATGGAACTTAACATATCCTCTACATTAAGTAAAATCACATTCATAATGGTATATGCAAACATTATTCTCTAAGTTATAAGTAAAAGCTGTTCTTGAAGAAAGAATTACTCCAGCAAGTTTTTTGGTTTTTTTTTTTGAGACAGAGTCTCACTCTGTTGCCCAGGCTAGAGTGCTGTGGCTTCAGCCTAGCTCACAGCAACCTCAGACTCCTGGGCTCAAGCGATCCTACTGCCTCAGCCTCCCAAGTAGCTGGGACTACAGGCATGTGCCACCATGTCCGGCTAATTTTTTCTATATATATTTTTTTAGTTGTCCAGATAATTTCTTTCTATTTTTAGTAGAGATGGGGTCTCGCTCTTGCTCAGGCTGGTCTCGAACTCCTGACCTTAAGCGATCCACCCGCCTCGGCCTCCTAGAGTGCTAGGATTACAGGCGTGAACCACCGCGCCCGGCCTCCAGCAAGTTTTTAACAGTGGTATGTTCAGGGGGCAATAGGGATGAGGACTACTTTGGAAACTGGTTTCAAGGGTTAAGTTAAACAATGATTGCAAATCATCTGGCACAGGGTCTTGACATGGTAGAGACTTAACTGGCAGCTCCCTTTCCCTCCTCTGTGAAGACCTTAATCAGAAGGATTAAGGCTATACCTGCTTCATCTTCTTGTCCTAGATCAGTGGGTCTCAAAATGGGATCTCAAGACCAATGGCACCCACATTAGCATCAACCTGAAAATTTATTAGAAATGTAAAATCTTGGATCCTAGCCCCAATCTACTAAAACAGAAACTCTAGGAATGGGCCCAGCAATGTGTTCTAGTAAGCCCTCCAGGTAATCCTTATCTCCTCCCTGAAGTTTGAGAACAACTGCCCTATCCTTGATGTCAGCATAGATACAGTATGATTTCTTAAACTGATATAAAGAGCCAATTTAAATTTAATTGCCCTCTGTAGTTAGCACATTCTCTGGGCTGAAAGGTGAGAGTGGTACATTGTTTCAATTTCAAAGACCTCTTGCTAAACAAATAGTCAAGAAGAGACTCAGTAATTGTTCTACTTAATTAGATTAATAAATTGACTACAATTTGAATTTCCTGGATCTTTGCTGGGCTCTCCTGTCTGGTGGGCTGTCATTCTCAGACCACTGGTCTAGCCTAGGAAACAAGGTCAAGTGCCCAGCCCAGCCCTTTTCAGTCCAGTGCTACAGTCTAAGTGGATTGATCCCTGCTCCTGCCAAAGGCCAGTTCTCGCCCAGCTTCTCTTTATGTGACCTCATACCTTGGTCCTACTACTGGTGTACAGTCATAGGCTTAACTCTTCCCCTGACTCCTATGAGAAAGCTGTCACCTTTTCTACAATTATCATTTAGGCCCCCCAAAAGCATCTAATTCATGTCACACATTCAACAAAGTAGACGAGTGTAATCCTGGTCTTAAAACCTGAATACAGGAGAAAAGTGTGATACCCTCTAAAATCTGAAAAATTACCCTTACTAGCAATTCAATTGAAGACTCAGGAAGAGACTGAATTCTATTCAATATGTACTTACTGGCATCTACTAAAGATACTGTCTACCAACAGCTTGGTTTATCATGGAAACACTGGACAAAAAAGGGCTAAGTTCTAGTTGTAGCTCTCACAAACTATACAACATTGAGTAAGACCATCTTTCTAAGCCTCATTTTTCTGATCTCTAGGGGGAAAAAAACAGTACTACTCTCTCCTGACTACTGAATTTTCTAAGCCATAAAACTTTGATACAAATACAAGTATTTATTTAAAATTTTATTTAAACATATCAAAACACACTTCAGTTAAGGCAGTTAGCAAAAAGAGCAATTGTTTAGGAGCTAGGAGACCTGGATTTCAGTTTTGATCCCATAATTAAAGATAAACAGCCTTATGAATTACAGCAAGTTACTTTTATGCCTTAGCTCCCACATCTGAAAAAAACAACTATTCTCCCTTTTAACCATAATAAGCATATTATAAGAATTGAATGAAATTAGGATATAGTAATAAAATACATTTGGAAATTTCCTATCATCAATAGGTATATTTTGCTAATTTCCTATCATCAGTAGGTATATTTTGCCAATACTTTCTTTGTCCCACAGCTAGTCCAGCTCAGAAACTCAACATCTGTGACAGCTGTTAGGAGTGAGGCTGAATGTTTTAAAGGCACTGATTCCTAAAGAGAGGGTATCCACCAAGTAAAGGGTTGAGCTCTTTCACCTGGGTGTCTAAGGTCCTTGGTTGCTTCTCCTAGTCTCTCAAGTAGCAACAAATAGGATGCAGGAAGGGCCAATTCTACTCCGAGCAGTGGGACCCCTTTTCAGTGATAAAGTCTCCTGGTCTCTAAAACTAATGATACAAGTTCACAACTAACTATCAATGTTTTGCACCCACTTTCCAAGAAATGCTTAATACTGTTTTTTGTGAAACAACCATGAAGAACAAAATTCCCCACCCAAAAGTAGAAGAAAAAAAAAAAGAATAAAGGCTTTCTACAGCAATTACCATTACATAGCATCTTCCATAACAATATATGGCTCCAAAACTGTATCCTGTACCAGGAGGCCATATACAAAGGGTATATTAATGCTTAGATGGCAGAATAAAACCGAGGAGGGAAGGTGTTAACAACTTGCTTTTCAGGATGCCTTCAAACTTAAGTCTCGAGAATATTCATATTTTACTCAAAGCTCTGATATTAAAAATCAAAGCAATCATCTAATTTCCCAAAGTATGACCTGAGGAATATTTGTTCCAAGGATTTTTAAATGATTACTCAATAAAAGGGTGTGAGGTTTGTGAAACACTACATTAAACAAAATTGTATACTGCCTTTACTACAGGACTTCTTGGAAACTTTAAGATGCTAATGTGTATTATAAATCAAAAGGTGAATATAGCAGATACTATTTCCCAAACTTATTCGATCATAAAATCTTTCACCTTGCCCTCAAGCCTACTTGTAGACTTGTATTTCTTCCAGGAAAAAAACACAAACAAACAGGCCAGGCACGGTGGCTCCTGCCTGTAATCCTAGCACTCTTCGAGGCCGGGGCAGGAGAATAGCTTGAGGTCAGGAGTTCGAGAAAAGCCTGAGCAAGAAAGAGTGAGACCCTGTCTCTACTAAAAATAGAAAAATTATCCAGGTGTCCTGGCACCTGCTTGTAGTCCCAGCTACGCAGGAGGCAGAGGCAGGAGGATTGCTTGAGCCCAGGAGTTGGAGATTGCAGTGAACTACGATGATGCCACTGCAGTCTACCCGGGGCAACAGAGTGAGACTCTGTCTCAAATACAAACAAACAAAGAAAAAAAGGAAAAGGCTAAATTCCCCTAGTTACTTCCTTTTATTCACAGCACTGGTATACCACTTTCCAATACAGTTTTGTGGGTTTTTCAAGAAAGAAAGGACTGTAGTCCATCAGAAATACTGTTTATCAATAGATTTTTGCACCTGAGCTCACTCAAAAGATACTCAATGATAGCTCCTAGGCACAAGAAGATACTCCTATAACAGATCTAGATCACCGAAGCAATGAAGAGGGGCAAATGATTGATTTTTGAGCAGCAACGATACCACCTAAAGATAGCCATAGCTTTAAATTCTTTCATAGCCCTTTCTACCAGGTCCTATCCTAGGTTTTTTTGGTTCTCTATTTAAACATATGTTGAGGCTTACTATGTATGTTAGGCAAGGCAAAAGGTAAAGTAAGATAGTAGGTATAATCAAAGGACTTCTTACAAAAAACTCATCCCTGGGACTATTCAAACCACTAATTAAAACTTTAAAAACCAAACCTAAGAGTTGACTGGTGCATCCCAGACAGCTTACACACATCCAAGAGCTCCTAAATTGTTCCTCCTCTGAATCTGAGGATTTCAGCTGATCCCTGAGTGCCCAAAGTTCACATCAAGAAATATATAAGCTTCCGTGTCAATGAAAATATCTTGTAAGGAGATACTGTATATGATGGCTAGAATCCCTGCAACTCCTTTTTTACATGGCATTGGCTTAGGCCACTGCCCTCTTATATTAAACTTGAGAGAACTGGTTCCTCACAACAGTAAATAGCCTTTCTGAGTCATCCAACATTCATCAGAGTAGATACTAAAAATTTTTGACACACCCATTAGGATGGCTATTATCCAAAAAACAGAAAATAAGAAGTATTAGTGAGGATATAGAGAAATCCAAGCCCTCATGCATTGCTGGTGGGAATGTAAAATGGTGTAGCTGGTGTGGGAAACAGTTTGGCAGTTCCCCAAAAAGCTAAATAGAATTACCATATGATCTAGCAATTCCACTCCTAGGTATATACCTAAAAGAGTTGAGCAGGGACTCAAACTGGTATCTGTATACCCATATTCAGAGCAGCATTATTTATAATAGTCAAAAGGTAGAAACCACCCAAGAGTCCATTGACATATGAATAGGTAAACAAAATATGGTATATATGCACAATGGAATATTATTCAGCCGTAAAGAGGAATTAAGTTCTGATGCATGCTACAAGAATAAACCTTAAAAACACTATGGTAAGTGAAATAA